TTTAAGACCACTTCATTCACTCTGTTCAATCTCACTCTCATTATCTTTTCACTCAATTACCTACTCATTTCTCACCGTGTAAATATTTAATTAAAAGCAATGGTAAAAAGCTAAAAACAAAGAAAAAAACAGTAAAAGTTACAGTGCAGTGTCAGTTATCAATCTACTAGTTAAAGGCCGTGGTAAAAAGAAAAGTCTTCAGTCTTAATTTAAAAGAACTGACAGTTTCAGCTGACCTGCAGTTATCTGGGAGTTTGTTCCAGATATACGGAGCATAATAACTGAACGCTGCTTCTCCTTGTTTAGTTTTGACTCTGGGGACAGAAAGCAGACCTGCCCCAGACGACCTGAGAGGTCTGGATGGTTCGTAACAAAGCAGAAGATCAGAAAAGTATTTTGGCCCTAAACCATTTAGTGCTTTATAAACTGCAGGATTTTGGAAACTGCCAGTCAGTCAGAACTGAAGAAGTCCTTTGGATGAGGGACGAAACGTCTTCCAGTAGCTTCAACCAAGTCCAGTTGCCCTTGATTTTAACCCTCGTTGGATAACTATGACCTGGATGACTGAGAATCTTCATAGACAGTCTGTTATTAAATTAGCAAATTGTTACTAGGTACACAAGCATTAGATAATTGTAACTACTTATTTTCCTTTAGACTTTGTTGAGTGAAAGTCTGATTCTAGTGTAAACCTCATCTCATTGTTTATTTATTATTTAAACACCTTGTTTTAAATGTCCCCTTCTGACTGGTTTTCTCTCAGAGTCCAGTTCATATCTTTCAGTGCAGTTTGTGTGAATAGCGTCAGAGTGGCATCGTGGAAAAATATCTTCTGTCATGTGTTTCCTGGTTGTCACAGAGACACCGCAGAACCTGACCAGAGGAAGTAAACCAGATGCATATAAAATCCTCCATGGCCTGGCCCCTCCACCTCTTTCTGAGTTTCTGAGTTTATGGTCCAACTCCAGTCGCCTCACTCGAGGAACATCCAGAGGGGACTGTGTTATTCCATTCAGGAAAACTGCGTTTAGTCAGTCAGCCTTTTCTATTAAAGCTTCAAAAGAATGGAACAACATCCCAACGTCAATCAGAGAAATTAATAGTTATAATGTATTCTGCTCATCATTAAAACGTTGGCTCCTTAGCAGTCAAACATGCCAGCACTGAACTTCCAACTTCCAACGCCGCTTTCTTGAGTCATCCTGCATGTTTTTATTTATTTAATATCGATACTGCTGCTTTTTAATGTTTATTCTGCCTCTTAAGCTTTGTACTATAACTGACTAATGTCTTGACTGTGTTCTTAATATTGACTCTAGTGGTTTTATGAACTGTAGCTTGTGCTTTTATGTTCTGTCGCCTCCAGCTGCATTTCTACTAAAGCTCTGTAGCGCATGAAATCCTTGTTGCATGTTTGTTTTGGCATCTTATTCCTGCTACTGTAACAAATATAATATAATATAAATGTTTATTGTATTTTTGCCAGCTGGGATTGGCTCCAGCCCCCCACGACCCTGTACGCAGGATAAACAGTTGAAGATGGATGGATGAGAAGTAAAGCAGTTTCATACTGTAGGGACTCTTTCCTCAGTAGAAGTAGTTCAGACACAGTTTGAGTAGAGGACGGGCAGACTGAATAATTTCAATAATCAATAATCTCCAAACAAGCAGAAAGCAGATGAAAGTAAAATGTCTCCTGTCTGATGGTGCGGAGGACGACTTGACTGACAGAAATGAGCAACATGAAGTCAGATCGTTATTCTTCTATATTTTTTATATTTTGTCAATCTATCCCAAATTTTCTACATTTCTACATTTTGGATTCACAAGATGGCGCCGCTCAGGGCAGCCGTGGTATTTTGGTGCTCTCTGTTTGTTTTGCTCATGTTTGTTAACTTTGCATTCTGCTGTGATACCCGGAGCGCTTTGAGAAGAGAAAAGCTCATAAACATCAGTTAATTACGACCTTTCTCGTGTCATCTGTGGAATTATTGGACATTCTGGTCAAGGCTTCACTTTCCACTGTTCATGCGGTGAGACGCCAGAGGAGGGAGAGAAGGTCCGGTGAGCTGATGCGACTACGCCGAAGAGGACACCGCTGCCGGCATGGCGCTCACTGGTGGGAAAAACAGAGACTTTTATTTATCTTCTGTTCCTCACAAAGATTCTGTCTCCACATCCACCCTGAAGCACTGCGCCAATCAGCTGTCTCTGGTGTTCACAGATATTTTTAACACCTCACTGGAGACATGCCGTGTGCCAGTTCGCTTCAAAGCCTCCACCATCATCCCTGTCCCCAAAAAACCAAGGACCACTGGACTAAACGACTACAGACCCGTCGCCCTGACCTCTGTGGTAATGAAGTCATTTGAGCTGGACCCCCTGCAGTTCGCCTACAGAGCCAACAGGTCTGTAGACGACGCAGTAAACATGGCCCTTCACTACATCCTCCAGCACCTGGACTCCCCAGGAACCTACGCCAGGATCCTGTTTGTGGATTTCAGCTTTTAACACCTGCTGCAGGACAAGCTCTCCCACCCCGGACACAAACTGTTTCAGACTCTCCCCTCTGGCAGGAGGATGCGGTCCAGCAGGACCAAAACCTCTCGCAACAAGAACAGTTTTTTCCGATGGTAGTGGGCTTCCTCAACAAGGCCCGGGTCCCCAAGCACACACACACCTATACACACTCCTGACCCCACACTTTAAAACAACGCTCAACTGTGCTTTATGTTCATGTTGTGAACTTTTGCACATATTATAATATTGTATTTTTTTGTATATTTGAATAAATATAATATATATTAAATATATAATATATAATAAATATAATATATATAAATTTTTTGATCTCCTTACTTTGGATATATTTATATTTATATTTCATGTGTAGCACCAATATATACCAAGGCAAATTCCTCGTATGTGAAAACGTACCTTGCAATAAACATTTTCAGGGGCTGTAACTTTCAAAACCTACATCGGATAGGTCTGATATTGACCGGGGGTCACCATGTGGTGGTCTGTTATCACTGTGAAGTGAAATGAGTCAGTGGAAACAGAAGTTTTTCTGTTTACATCAGTCTGAATTTAGTAAGCATTCTGTGAAAATGTAATATCTTCTTTAGATACTTGTGTTGACTTAAGCATTTATTTTTTCATTTATTCAGTCGTTTCTGCCACACCGATTGCATTATGTTCAGCAGAAGCTCACTTTTATTCAGAAATCTGCTGCGACACGATGTTACCGTGATGCCAAGAAAAAACATCCATTGCAAAACAGCGTGAGGACTCCCAGCAAGCAATCTCATGGTTTCAAGGATTTTTTTTACTCAAACATAACAGGTTCTCATAAATGGGATTACAACGTAGACAACCTGAGATAATACAACATGATCAAAATATAAATGAATTATTGATAAAATATTATTATAAATACAAAACAGTTTCTATAAAAATACAAACAATTTTAACAACATGTGATAATAAAAACTTAAATAATGACAAACAAAATTGGTTGGCTACATCCAAATCTAGATGTTCATCTGAGCTGCTACTTGATGCAGGAAGAGCATCAGATGGGTCTCTCGGGTAAATGGGATCCATAACTGTTGAATATGTAAGAATATGAATATAAGTAAACATTATAAGTCACTACATTCACTGTGTTGTTAAGACATGACTACTATCAACAAATGATTTTAAATGAAAACATACAGTATATTTCTAATTATCATTCTAATGAAGGTGACCCCCCCCCCATATTTAAGGTTTTTTTCTTTTTCATTTAAAAGCCCTTATTTATTACTGACCCATTTATCTCTATGGAACAGGTCTCGTGTTTTAGCCATCATGTTGCATTAAAACAACCAAATCGACAATTGGGAAAGCTGCTTTTATTCTTTTGAAAGAGCTATGTGCTGTGAATGTGAACAGAAAGTGTTCTGTTCTGAATATTTATTGTTGTCTTTGCTGACTGTATGCTGGAGAATTTGCAATAAATATTTAGTGTCAAAACTGAAAAAAATTATATTTTTATATCATAATGATCTAGTGAGTAAAATATGTGTGGCTTTCATAAAAAATTATAATAGGTAAGGTTGCACATGTTTCATGTTCACCCCCTCTGAATTCAGATAATATAGAGTTTTTAAGGGCACGAAGAAACCAGTGGGTATCATGGAGTAACGTTAAGTTAGGACATGTCAAACAAAGACACAGATAATTACAAGACCAAAGTAAATGTATTTTCGCTTCCAGTGTTTGCAGTAAACTCTCGCCCGTTGCTCGCTGAAAGGTCGAAATCGCAACGTGTCCCTCGTTTAAAAATGGCGGATATGTTTATCGCGAGATCTGGCAACTCTGACGTCTAAATTTCAAGTCTCGCCTTGCCAGTGGTCATCTAGCGGTTGAAAATAGTAATTGCATTTTGTTTTAAATTTAAATGAAAGTCAATGAAGGGAACGTTACAGCGAAAATAAAGACAGTTTAAATGTTTCAAACGTTTACTTGCATTTGATGATATGATATCAGGCACCTCAACAGCTGCATCGGATGAAAACTACATGTAACTTATTTGGTCTGAAACAGGGCTACAGCCAAGCCGTTGATATTAAACCACTGATTGCCTCTATTTCGCCAGGTGGGCTAAAAGCAGACTACACGTAGCCTGTCCAAATAAGAGCTAAATCGTTGCTACAGATAGACCATGTGAATTTAATGACACTTAATATCTTTTTGATATTGTTGACATTGCAAAAATAATGGGATATCAACCATCTCAAGTGCTGCCAGGGCAAAAACACACTTTTAATCATTTTTGACTAAAAGTGGGCTACAAATAGCCGGTCTGTCTAGGAGCTAAATCGTGTCTATGCACATGTGAAAGAAATGAAACAAAAAACTTTGTAATCACTGTAGTAATCACTACTTTTAACATACAAAGCACCCAATCCACATATAGAGACTTTAAAACATTAAAGACTGATGAACACACCGTGTTTGCATGTGCACAGTTTAAATTTATTTGGATTAATTAGTTATAATACAAGTCTTTTATCAGGTCAGGGGTACAGAAGAGAGCTTGTCCTTGAAATTGGTGTTACAGAAAATAAATCAAGATAACATTATAGAATTTAAGCATTGCAACAATGAAACATTTTAAAGATAGGCAAAACAGGTAATCCAGCAAAACCAGTTTCTCAACAAACTGTGCATGATGATAAAGGCACTGATAATATAATCCAATCTAAAAGTTTCAGATAATCAGTAAATACTAATTTACGTTAAATCTAAGTTTAACAGCCAACATATTCATTTGTATTAATAATACATACAATGAATCTCAGATAAAGTATTCAGTAATAAATGTCATATGCATATACTAATGTCATCTTAATCATAGCAAAAGTTAAGGTATATAAAATTTGACAAGGAACAAAAGACATACTGGCTATATAATTATTAAAAAGCTTTAAGAGTGAAATGGTTTACATAATAAGAATCACAGCTAAGTAAGAATTTCTGAAAGATACGCTGGAATGATGATCAGTGATCAATTTCTGCTGTGTGCAGGATTTTTATATAAAATGCATCTAAATCTAGTTCAAAGACTAGGAAAATGGCATACTGAGCGTTATTTTTCTTCATCTCAGGCTAAAAGGGCACAGCTCGTTTTCCAGGACAGCTCGTTTTTCCTCTGATGTCAGCTGACCTTTGCACAGGGAGTCATGGATCTTCTGCAATGACTCAATCTCTGACCTCCAAAGTGCAGCTCTGGCTCTGATGAGCTGTGAGACTTCAGTCTCGCTGCCTTTGGCCAGACTGATGCTGTCTGTACAGATGAAGTAGATATCTAGGCCAAGGAAAAGACCACTGACTGCGATTTCACAGAACCTGGCTGCCTTGGAGAGTGCAAGTGACCCTTTGACTGCTACCTGACCGATATCTGAGATTTCTGAGGCTGCCCTGGGCACATTACGTAATGTTTTACCTGCCTGGCCAGCACTTGTAATCAGCTCTTCACCTCTCCTCAGCTTAGCAGCAGCGTCAACATCATCCTTCAGTTTAGTGCTTTTTTTCACAATACCACGAACTTTAAGACCCAGCATGTCTACTCCCTTACCCACATCTTTCATACTTGGTTCTACATTGGGGACTGTTTGACTGGTCACGTCCTCCAGACAATCCTGGAGAACCTGCACATCCTTCATGAAGCTCTGGAAGACGTCACTGGCTCTCTTTTGTTGTGTATAGTTTACTCCGATCTCTGTGGCTGCGGTGACAACACTGTTGACCCCACTGGTAATTCCCAGCGCTGTCCCACCTATCAACAGACCTAGGGACACTCCTGCTGTGAAAGGAATTAATGCCAAACCAACTATTGAAAGCACGCCTCCAACTGCCCCCACTGAGCTGCCTGCCACACTGGAGATCTTTGCCCCCTTATTCATCTCGTCTAGCTGAACAGCACACTCCTCCAGCTTGTGCAGAAACTGCAGCATCTTGGGCTGTCGCTTGCTGAACTCACTGGTGAAAACAGAACATGATTTCCCCTGAAACAAGAACACCATCCGGAAGTCCTGGTCCATCCTGATAGAGAGCAGAGAGAAAATTTAAGCTTGCTAATCAATTAGTTTTATATAAATTTATTAAGTTTTTAGGTCGAATGTAAAAAAGAAGGCAAATATCAGCTCTTTGTAGATCTTTAGCGTCTTTTAGCTAATTTATTTTCTTATCTTCTCATTCTGTATTATTATTTGTGTTGTGCTATTACTAGTATTATTCAACAAGCTTTATGATTCTGTGTAAACATCAGTATGGCTTTATTTGTTTCTACTTGATGTGTTTGAGGTTTAGGCCTCTCCAAAGCTGTCTTTATCATTGATTGAATATATCGTTCAGAGAGAAATAATAGTCTTCTCAAAGACCACGAGGGCACAGCTGCTTTCATGCGTAGGCGCACAAGCAACAGGTTCCTCAAAATCCTTGAGCTGCTGATTTAAAGCTAAATGAGTAATTGTGCATCAACAAAGATGAACGTCATGTTGGTTTCCTCCAGCTGAATATTTTCAACTCACTCGAATATGCATATTTCAAGTCACCCACTTTGCATTTTTTGTTTTCCCATGGGTGTTCCACACAAACTTGCGTCTGCTTTCGTCTTTGGATTGAGTTAGTATGTATTCGCTTCACGTGATAAATTCACTTTGTATTCTATGTGAACACGTAGTAGTACTTACCTGATTTTTTCAAGCTGATTAATGTGATGAAGCATCCTTTGTATGTCATCTTCAGACAAATCCACATCGAGGTCTAACGTCGTTTCTGTAGTCATTCTTAAGGGAAAATCACTAAAAAGGGGACAATCACTTATAATTTCTTGCAAAAAGCACCTTGGCATTTTTTACTTACATAATTTAAAGTATTCTTTCTTTAAATTAATAATGTTTTGGTTTTTAATATATTATTTAAGATTCATATTTAATAGCTCAAGATCATGGTGTGCAAATAACAATAATAATATTAATAAGACCTAAATACCTTTTCTCTAACTTGTCACAGATGCTCTGGGTGGTCTCAATGTATTTGTCCAGCTGATATGACAACACTTCCACGTTCTGAAGTTTGGGAAGGAAGAAGACACTTGCATCTCTTTTAAACTTGAGGAGGAGTGGGCAGATTTGCCGTGCAGAAGAGATGACAACCTGAACCTGTTCACAGCTGATCCCTCTGGGCAGCTGTAACACTTGATTCTCCTTCTTGAACACATGAAGTGAGGTGACCGCCAGCTTCTCCACTGCATCCAGGAAGCAGTCCAGCTTCTTCAGGCCTCCCAGAGTGTCCTTTAGCACAGCAGTCAAGTCGTCCTTTATCTTCGTCAGCTCTGTCCTCCTTGCTTTGGTCCATTGAGGGAGGTCCTCACAGAATTGTGTAACTATGTTAATGTAGCTGAGTGTATCTTTGGTGTAGCACATTAAGGCCTCCTGTAGTTCGTCCCTGCAACACAAATCAAAAATGTCTGTAGATTAATCTGTCATCCAGTTAGTGAAACATCAAAACAAATAAAAATGATCCACTGAAGTGCATGAGTCAGTCTCATATTACCATTTTATTTTTTATTTTTTACAAAAGGTGGCAAACAAAAGATCAACACAACAAGACAGTAGAAGTATAAGTATAAAGTTTGAAATAAATAAATAAAATAAAAATAAACTTGCAGTAAAATAAATAAAAGCCAGGATACAAACAAAAGTTTACCGAGGTTGCATGGCGGATAGAAAAAGTGACCTCTTCTTCAGCGTAAGTGTCCGTACAGTTGTTGCTTTTATATTTGATGACCTGAAGCAGCGGCTAAGGAATATAGAGGGAGAGATGGTTAAATATAGGGAAACCATTCAGAACCTTGTAAACTGGTAATAAAATCTTCAAATGAATTCAATAAAAAGAGACCAGAAGACAGTGATGCTAAAATAGGTGTAATGTGCTCTCCTATACTTATATAAACTGAACTAGAGTTAAAAGTCAAGATGAGAGGACACTGACATATGAAACAATTTCTTTTCATTAGGAAGAGTAAGATATGGTCCAACTTTTGCAATATTTTTCAGGAGGAAAATGCAGTCTAATGGTCAATAAGACTTACTGAGGTTTAAGTCATTGTCTAAGATGAAACTACTGCACCTCAGGTGAATCTATTATATCAACCACTGGATCTCAAGGTATTTTTATTTAATAATTTTATTTATTTAAATTATTATTTTAAGAATTTTCTACTACATCTCAGGCTTTCTTTGACATATTTCCTATATTTTGTACAGTGTGCTGTAGAATTTTGTATACTACACTGCGCAGAGGAATATCCGTGTGGATCTGCTGTGACAGGAAACTGAAAGACACAAAATTACCATAAAGAGACAAAGCAACTACAAACGAGATGCAGAAACCTAAAAAGCTATAAATATTTGTTTTCTTATTTTCTTACCTTTTCAATATATTTGATTAACTTTTCCTGGCAGGGTTGGTCTTTCACACAACACCAAACTTAGCCTTCTTGTCCTTCAGCCCTGGAGGTATGAGAGCAGGAGTGAGATGAGAGGCAAAAACCCCTGATAACAAGCTAGTTTTTGAAAGAGGTTCTGGCAGACCCCAACTATCAAATGTCTAACTCCAGGCTCTAAAAGTTTCCTAGTCAGTCCCTCCAGTCCTCCTTCTTGCAGATTTGAGAGAGCAGGCCACTGAACATAACCTGGAATGAGTTAATTTAAACTGCCAGATTTCTGGATATCTATAATGAGGTGTGAAGGCAGTGTGGATGTAAAATAATAAACACTTACCAGTCCGGAAGGGGAGAAGAAATGAAGAAAAAAAGAGAGGAAAAACTCTTTTCTTGAGGCCACCTAAAGAGAAACTTATTTATTTTTTTTAAAAATGCTAAAAAGCTTTACAAAGTCTCACAAGACCCTATCTAAATGCTAGACTGAGCTCTTGATGATCAAAGAAGAAGATCCAAAAAGCCAACAAAGCAATAGGGTCAGCAACTTAAATAAAGAATTGGGAGGATGGACCTAACCCCTTTTCAAAACGTTCATTGGTTGCCAGAACATACATTAAAACCTCACGTCATATATGCTTCCTCTTTAGGAAGTGGTAGTAGTGTGGGTGCAGCTAACCCATTTGTATTTCAAATGTGGTATAATTGCCAGCTAAACATCATAGAATATATACATCAAATGTTCAGATATAGTTTAAGAATCAGTTTAGTATCTGATACAACAGGTCATGTCAAGGTTAAAGAGACCTTTGAATTAAATGATAGGTTGAAAACAGACCTGAATTACACTCAAGGAGAACCACATGTTGTTTTTCATGACCTAATAAGGCAAAAGAGTTGTTCATGACCAAGTTGTCCACCATTTTGTGCAACGTGGCAGGATGGGAAGATCCAAATCTGAGTTTTAATAAAGTTAGTGGATGTGTGAGCAGCCCTCAAAATTCTCAAAACATTATATTAGGGGCTGTAGTAATTAATTATGGTCTATGTGCAGAAAAACAATTGTAAAGAGTCACAAGTTTAAAGGAATTATTAGTTGTATAAAATGTTGTCGACACAGCTCACAGACTTGATACTGAGTGCGACATTTCGGGGAATTGGAGTCGAACAATTACTTCTACAGCTGTTTAAAACAAGGTTCAACTTTTAAGTAAACAAAGACAGGAAATGTGCGGTGATTAGACAGTTAGATTAAGCAAAGATAAGAGACTATTATAACTACGTAGCAATATGTTCATGTTAGTGTGTGTATTTGAATTGAATGTAATATGTTTTCTTCATTTGTGTTTCTATCAAATTTATAAGGTTACTGTAGGCAAACAGCTTAGAGGCTGCAGGAAACTGGGGAGGGTCTCCTTAAAAGGAAAATTTAATCTAAAGAAAATTACACAATGAAAATGAGGTGATACTTGTATTTGTGAACTCAAACAACACAGGAACCTAGTATACTAGGAGCAATGATGCAGATAGAAATCCACCATGTTGCGTATGTGGCTGTAATTGTGGGGGGTTTATATCTGAGTTAACACAGAGAGGCCGGTAGACTTTTTCCAGAGAGGTGGAGGAGGAGTCTCCAGTAATCTCTCTCTAAGCATTAGGAATTAAATCATTGAATCATCTAATATTAATAGAATGTAAAGTTAATGTCGAATGATTTCTAGAAGGCTAATCTGAGTGAATGTGAGGGTTTTGGATAATCTTTAGGATATTGGTAGGAGATTCCTTTGAGGACA